AGGGATCACATCATGAAGATGACTGATGCAGCTGAGAAACTCAATTCACTAGACATGAAAATTTGTGAGAAGCAACTTGTTTTTATGTTCCTACAAGCCTTGCCGTTGAAGTTCAGTAAACTGAAAGTCTCTTACAACACATAAGACAAAACCTGGACAGTGGATGAGCTTATAGCTCAATGTGTGCAAGAAGAAGATCGAAAAAAGCAAGAGAAAAACAAGGAAGTAGAATCGATTAACCTTGTACAAAACACCAAAAGGAAGAACTTCAATTATTGTAAAATCTCTAAATTCAAGTTTGGTGATAAATCTGTTGCGCCTGCTAAGAATTTCAATTCCCCTAAATCTAACAATTTTAAGATGAAGACTAAAAATATAGAGAAAGTTAGATGTCATCACTGTAAAACCAAGAGTCATTATATAAAGGATTGTGAAATTTTTAAAGAATGGTTAAGGCCTAGAGGGAAGGTTGATGTGTATGTCTATGAAGAGTCGAATCTCATTGAGATCCCTATTAATTCATGGTGGTTAGACACAGGTTCATCAGTGCACGTCACAAATTCATTACATGGTTTTGAGAAACAAAAGGAAACTAATTGTTTCAACGTTTATGTTGGAGAAGGGACAAGGGTAAATGTAGAAGCTATTAGAATGGTTAGACTAAGGCTAAACATAGGTTTCATAATGCAATTGGATAATGTCTTGTATGTCCCCACCATGAGAAGAAACCTGATATCTACATCAAAAATTGGTTAAACAGAAGTATGTGTTCATTGATGATGACAAATGTATTAAGTTTTTCTTCAATGGGTCTTTAATTGGTAAAGCATTCATGTTTGATCACCTATGGAGATTATAGTGCACATTTGAAGTGAGTCACCTACAAGTTTTACAGGTCACAACCAAGAGGATGCACGGTTCTGATCACTCTTTCATGATTTGGCGTAAAAGATTGGGGCACATTTCAAAAGATAGGATTTCTTAGTTGTCTAAGTCGAATTTGATCCCTACCATTGATTTTAAGAATGCACCTTAGTGTGTAGATTGCTTAAAATGAAAGATGACCAATGTTAGGAAATTGGATGCAAAGAGAAGTCAAAGTTTACTTGAAATTATACATACTGATATATGTGGCCCTTTTCCTATCAAAACCATATGTGGGAACTCATATTTTGTGAGTTTCATTGATGATTTTTGCAGACATTGCCATATCTTTCTTGTAAGTGAAAAGTTATATGCCCTTGATTGCTTCAAAATCTTTAAAAATGAGGTTGAGATACAACTAAATATTGTAATTAAAATTGTTAGATCAGATAGGGGAGGAAAATATTTTGGCAGGTACACAGAAGCAGGTCAACAAAAAGTACATTTTGCTCATTTTCTTAATCAACAAGGCATTATGGCTCAATATACTACTCATAGAACACCTCAACAGAATGGTGTAGCTGAAAGAAGGAATATAACCTTGGTAGGAATGGTAAAAAACATGATTTCGAGGTCAAAGTTACCAGGTTTTCTTTGGGGTGAATCCTTGAAGACTACCAACTATATTCTAAATCGAGTTCCTACGAAAGCAGTACAGTGCCTAAAACACCTTTTGAAATGTGGATAGGAAAGAAACCAAGCTTTGAACACTTTCATGTTTGGGGCTACAAAGCTAAAGCAAGGTTTTATAATCCGAATGAGAATAAACTTGATTCAAGCACCAATTCATGTTTCTTCATTGACTATTCAGAGAAGTCAAAAGGTTTTAAGTTCTATTATCTAGAAGCACATACTAGGGTGCATGAAACACACAATGAAGTATTTCTCGAGGATGAGGACGTGTTAAACATAGTGCAAGACAATTTTGTTTTTGAAGAAATTGAGCAACATATTGACAACTCATCACAGTTGGACTATGAGTCGTCCCAATATTGCTAAGGGTGCACGGATCGAATAGTGATTCATGTCATGGAATGGATGAGAATGTAGTAATGCAAGACACTGAAGAAATAGGAGGTCAATCAAACATTGAGAACATTCAAGTTCAAGATCAATGTCTAAATGAAATAGATAAGCTATTAGTCCAACCCACATTGAGAAAATCAGAAAGAGTTAGAAAACCTGCTATTTCACAAGATTATGAACATCTACAAGAAGCCAAGTTCGATTTGGGAGATATAGATGATCCAGTGACCTTAAATCAAGCAATGCAATGTGTTCAAGAAGCCGAGTTCGAATTTGGACATTGGTTAGTGCTCCATCACACATCAAGCCTATCAGGTACAGGTGGGTTTATAAAACCAAAAGAGATGCTGCTGGGAAAATTGAAAGATATAAGGTTAGACTAGTTACAAAAGGTTTCACTTCCAGAGAAGGAATAGATTACAACGATACTTTCTCACATGTCTCTTCCAAGGATTCTATGAGGGTAATCATGGCTTTAACAACTTATTTTGATTTGGAATTGCATCAAATGGATATGAAGACTGCCTTTTTGAATGGAGACTTATTTGAAGACATATACATGATTCAACCTCCCAGATTTGTTGAAAGGGGGAAAGAGAGTATGGTTTGTAAGCTTAATAAATCTATTTATGGACTCAAGCAAGCTTCAAGACAATGGTTTCTCAAATTTGATCAAGTAATCACTGCACATGGTTTTACAGAAAACATGTTAGATGATTGCATTTATCTCAAGTTCAAGGGCTCCAAGTTTATTTTCTCATTTTGTATGTTGATGATATTCTATTGACCAATTCTGATATACAATTATTGCAAGAAACCAAGGCCGTTCTTAAAACAAATTTCGATATGAAGGACTTAGGTGAGGCTCACTGGGTTACTGAAAAGAAAGTCCTAAGATATTTGCAGAGAACAAAGGGACATATGCTAGTATATGGTAGAGAAAATTCATTGGATTTAGTAGGATTCACAGACTTGGATATTGTAGGTGATAAAGATGAAAGAAAGTCCACCAGTGGCTATGTAGTTATGTTGAATGGAGCTGTTGTTTCATGGAAAAGTGCCAAGCAAACCATTGTGTCAACCTCTACAATGGAAGCCGAGTTTATTGCTTATTTTGAAGGGATGAAGCAAGCAGTTTGGCTTAGAAATTTTGTCACTGAGATAAGGATTGTAGATTATGTGAAAAGACCTATGAAGATGTTCTGTGATAATAGTGCTGATGTGTTCTTTTCTAAGAATAATAAAAAGACTTCAGCTTCGAGATTGATGGATGTTAAATTTCCTAAGGTTAGAAAAGTTGTCAAGAAAGCAGAAATCGAAATTTTGTATTTGGCAACTAGTTTGATGATTGTAGATCCACTTACAAAAGCACTGCCAAATAATGTGTTCAAGGGACATGTTACGAAGATGGGAGTTTTAGAATCGTTTGACAAGTGGGAGTGAACAAGAAATCAAAGCTTTGAGGACCGCATTTGGTGCTTCCTTGATTGTTCTTGGATGCTGAAGTTGCAAACCTTAAAGTACAAGTTAGTTAGCTAGTATAATTTGTTTAGGTAGTGTTCCATCTTATTTCCTTTCTTTGTTGTTATTTTGGTTTTCAATAAGGGTTTAATCTTTCCATTATGGATGATTGATTGTACGGGGAGACAAAATTTATGAATAATAGTTTGTGTTGATGCACAAAATCAGTGAGGACTTTGGTACAATAGAAAAGGTTAAGTTTGTAACCTTCGCTAGATTGCTCCGGTCACTAGTGTGGATAAGTATGTAAATGGATAGAGACAGGGAAGTAAACACAAGATGTACGTGGTTCACCCAGATTGACTATGTCCACGGATTAGAGGAGTTCTCATTAATTGTGAAGGGTTTACACAAGTACATAAGTTCAAGCTCTCCTTTAGTGAGTACAAGTGAATGATTTAGTACAAATGACATTAGGAAATATTGTGGGAGAATGATCTCCTTTTATAGAAGAGAGTTTCTAGCTTTGTTCTGACATTGACACGTGTCGTGTTGTGATTGGCTTCCGATGTTGACACATGTTGCGCTATGATTAGCTTCTGATGTTGACACGTGTCGCGCTGTGATTAGCCTCCTGGTTGGAGGGAAACTCTTATGGGTCCTTGACGGTATAACGTTGACCGATGCTCGGTATTTTCGAGATTGGTCAAGTATGGTACAAACAGTTTGATTTTCTAGAAAATCGATTATGGTTTTGTTAAGGCATTTTTGGAACTATAGGTTTGCATTGATTAGTTGAGGTTATTTAGCTTTGTTAAGATTAGTGGGAGTCATATGATATGACTTTATATTATGCACATGTTTACAAAATACAAATTGAAGTATTTTTTTTGTGATTCTTGAATTAATTTTGTGAATGTACGGATGAAGTTCTAGTTTCCTGTGCTTTGAAATGTATTGGTGAATTTGAATGTGAAGATAAGCGTCTTGGTTAAATTAGACTTAGTGATCACTTCCATAATTCAATAACCTGGTTGTTATATTTCATACTCAAGTGGGAGAATGTTAGAATATGAATATGAAATTGACATTGTGTCTAGTTGTAGTATATGAATTGATATGAAAAAGTCTAAATTAACAGGCAGTAAATAATCCTAATTCTTGTAGGATTGAGAGTACTTATGAGGAGTATTAGTGACTTGAACATGGATTGAGATTGTGTTTATACGTATGGAATGGATAATTAAGTCCTATACTGATTCTAATAGGAGAACCGTACGAATTATAGTGAATATATAAACACTAGCCACTGCTCTTGTAATACATGACTCATCTTGATCTTAAACCTATTCTTAGAGAGCATACTGGTTATTGTCAAATAGGAGAAGGTTAATTGTTAATAGGCTGATATGGCTTCATCATCTTCATCGGCTGCTGCATGTATGTTTCTTATGTTCTGTCTTTATTAAGTCTAATTGTTGTTCTTGTTCTCATGGCTTAATGGCATGTCTATGATATTTGGTTCATAGTGATTATATATTGCTTACAACAAGGGCACTAAAAGAAAGGCAGGCTGAGTTAAGCTCTGCTTAACATTGATTTACGTTCCTCGGTGGACATGGTAACCCGTCCTTTGACAAAATCAAAACCAGAGAGGGATAAGGCTGCGTGGCCCACTGTTGACTGCACACCCTATCGATACTATAACTAGCTGCTTCATGTGCTGCTTTGTTTGTTTCTCTATGAATCTGTTTCCACCGAACTTGAGTGAAAGATGAAAATAATCTCCATATCTCCTCCATGATGGGGTAAATTCTCCACATGCTTCTAATTGACTTCTTTTTGACACTATCCACAAAAACTTTGGAATCACTTTCAACCATGATGTTTTCCAGGCCCATGTCATTAGCTAATACCAGCCCTACAAGTGCAGCCTCTGCCTCAATTTCCTCAATAGATGATTTGAGAATATGGCAGTGTTTCCTTCCCAATAACATCCCTCTACAATCCCGAATGACAACACCTAAACCAGCATTGCCTGATGGTTTCCATGCACCATCAACATTTATTTTAACAAAAATGGATATGGGAGGGTTCCAAATAACATTTCTTGTAATGGTGGCTGTAACCCTCATCTTTGTGTACTGATGTTCTAGCATCTCCGCAATAGAGTAGGAGATTCACCTTAGTGTAGTTATTGTGATAGGATACTGCCAAGTGGCTTAATAAGATGATGACATGTGTACATGGTTGCTAGTAGTTAGTTAGCAGTTAGAAGATAAATAGCAGGTTGTAACAAATGAAAAGTTGTGGTATTATGTTGTTACTTATTGTACAAGCAAGGAAAAAGTGAAGAATGGTTTTAACAATTGGTATCAGCCAATCTTCGATCCCCTCAATCCTTCATGTTGTATGACTCATCAAGCTTCATGAAAAACCATGGAGTCTAGGGTTTCTAATTTGGAATCCAAGATTGATGAATTCCAGGTTTTGCAAGAAGAGTTTAAGGCATCGCAAGAGAAATTCAAGTCAACCCAAGATGTGATTCATCATCAATTGCAGTCTCTTTTGACGCGATGGTGTTTCAATGGGAGAATCTTCTGAAGCCACACTCAGTGATCAACAATATCATGAATAGATGAATTCGAACTGCAATCACCAAGAGTTTGGGCAAAATTCAACCATCAAACGCAACATCCATTCTTGATGGTGGATTTCCAAGATTTACTGAATGTGATGATCTAATGGGATGGATTTACAGAGCAGAACACTATTTTGAGTTCTTCAACATTGAAGATTTGAAGAAGGTAAAACTAGCATAATTTCACATGGAGGGAGAGGTTTTGCAATGGTTTCAAGGGTTGCTTGGAAAACTTTCCTTCATGGGAAGAATTTTCAAAGGTTTTATGCCAGGAATTTGGTCCATCGGAATTGGAGGATTCTGCTGAAAGCTTGGTTAAATTGAGGCAAACTTGTACCTAGTGTGACTATATAATGGAGTTCAGACGCTTAGCAAATCGAACGAGGGAAATCAACACGTCTCTCCTCAAATCTTATTTTATTGGAGGTTTGAAATCAGAACTCAGGCACAATATGAAACTCTAAAGGCCCAAAGATGTATTGGAAGCTTCAGCAATTGCACATCAAATTGATGCTAAATTGTCTGACTTAAAAGTGAAATCTTTCTCTAATGTTTCTGCAACTCAGTTTTCAATCACCTTTACAAACTCTTAATTCCAACACTTCGCTTGAAAATAAATCTCGAATCCCTACTATGATAAGACTAACCCCTGAAGAAGTAGATTTTTATAGAAAAAATGGTCTGTGTTTCCATTGTAAAGAGAAATATTTCAAATGGCACACTTGTGAAAAAAAGTAATTTTGATTGATGTTCAAGATTCTGAATCTTGTGTTGATGAAGAAGTTAACAATAAGGAATTATAAATGACTGTATATGCATTGTTTGGTACTCCTGCACCACCATCTATTAAGACTATGAAGGTCACTGGTTTTGTTAAAAATTGTTCTGTCAACATTCTAATCGACTCAGGGGGCTCACATAATTTTGTATCTACTCAGGGTACTTTGGTCCAAATACCTGTGAAAATTCAGAATTACACTTGCATTACAGATTTGTATGATATCCATCTTGGAGGTTGTGATGTTGTTCTTGGAGTTCAGTGGCTGAGAACCCTAGGACCAATTCTCTGGGACTTTGAAAAGTTGTATATGAAATTCCAGAATGGAGCAACCACTTATTGCATTGCTAGCCCACTTATTGCATTGCTAGCCCACAAGCATCTACTGATCAATTAGAGGACATTTCAGCTTTACAAATAAGCAAACTTTGCAGTAAGAAACTACTGTAGGGGCAATTTTGTGTCATATTGAATCTACAATCCATAAATCATGTGGAATGAATTGAGTCGCTTGTTCTGCATTCATAGCTAACAAAGATGATGGTGGTGACTGTCCTTGAAACGAGTAATTTCCTCTATGGAAGCAATCAAGTGCAGAGTGTCCCATTTTGCCACATATTTAGCATTCAACAACAAAACCAGTAGTAGAAGTGTCTGTATTCCTATGAAAACAATTGGCAGCAGTTTGACCCTTCTTATTACAAATTTGGAATTCAATTACAATATTTGTTCTTGTTTCAGTGTTGCCTAACCAAGAACCATTTCCATTATGAGCTTGTCTTAATCCACCTGGATAGTAATTATTACCATTGTTGTATCATTTTCCTCTAAAGCCATTGCTATTTCTGTAGTTGTTGTTATTGTTCTTGTACTGACCCTTATTATAAGATCTATATCCATTATTAGAAGACTGAGGCTTGAAACCTTGCTGATTTCCAGAATTTTTGACTGACAAAACCACAACCAAAAGGTGGAGTATGCTGACCTGGAGGATTAGATAATGATGTATCGGGATAGAATGTCTGAGAATCACAAGAACCAATAGAAGGATGAGTAGATGAACCATATGGCTGCTGTATAAGGGTTCCCATGTGGTGGCAGGAATGTGATTATGTCCTTGAGGATTAGAAGAGGATGCACCAGAAGAAGAACCTTGACCATACATGTTAGAACCAATGGTAATACTAGAACTTGCACCTTGGACATAGAGAGCAGACATATTCTGAGACAACAAATTCATTTCTCCTTCAATTTCCTTTTCAGTACCAAGTAGTTGGGCACGAAATTCCCTCAACGGAATAGATGATTCCCTTGCCAAGATAACAGTTCTAATAACAACATACTCATTTGGTAAACTAGCCAAACTAGCAGTCATGATATCATTCTAAAAAATTACTTCCCCTGCAACAATTAATTGTTCCATAATGTTTTTCAATCACAGCAAATATTTATCAATACTATTTGTACCCTTCTAAATTGTATACAGTTCAGTCTTTGAGTGATTTACCCTAGATTTAGAGACTGAAGCATATCTTCCAATAAGATTTGACCATGCCTCAAAGGCTGTTCTACACCTAAGAACATATTCCATTGCTTCATCTATTAATATAGCGAGTAACAAACTGATAAGTGCCATATCAGCGGATTCCCAATCAAGAAAAGCAAAAGTGACTTCCTTTGTGATACCAGTTTCAGCACTCACTACAAATTTAGGTGGACGCACAATTGTGCCATCAAAATTTCCAAACAGTTTATATCCTTTAAGGACTGATTGAAACTGAAATGCTCACTTAGCAAAATTGTCATCCCTGAGTTTTATAGTAAGAATACCCAACACGTTCTTTATTTTGAATGATGAAGATGCCATAAAAAACAATTGAACTAACACAATCTTGAATGCACACAGACAATCTTAAGAGAATAACACTTCAAGATACAACACCAGAAACACTTCTACTCCAAGAAAATTACTATTACTCCTAGAAAGTCTAACACTTTCTTTATCCAACAACAAACTCTAATCTTCAACAGAATCACCAGAAAGAATGACACTTTCTTTACCAAGACAACAAACTTCAATTTTCAACAGGCTCACCAGAAAGAATGTCACTTTCTCTACCAATCAAACAGAATTTAATCTTCAACAGAATCACAAATTCTAGAGAATAATACTCCAAGATAAAAAAATAAAAATAAAAATAAATAAAAAACCAGAAAGAATGACACTTTCTTGAATGAAATTTCTAATAGAAAAAATCCCAAATCTTCAATGCATACAAAACATCTTTTGCATATCAAATCAAGGGTGCATTTTTGCTCACCCACATTAACTTTGGTGTATGCTCACCATACAACTTATTAGCTGCCATGTGTCCCTTCTTCTAACCCTAGTTACTTGTTAATTAAATATATCATTTTCAAATTTTAAAACTAATTTTAAACATTAAACTTAAAAATAAATAAATAACTCAAACCCTGCCCAGCAGTGTTTCATTCCCCACCCACGCCAACCATTCAATCGATTCTTCAAAGTTCCACCCACCCACCCATCCAATCTTCTTCTTCGGGTGTATGGCGAATCTGCCATGACTTCGTCCTCCGCCCTCCCTCCTTTTTCTTCCACTGTAACAACATTCGGAGATCACCACGATGGCTGCGCCTTTGCAGCCATGAAATTCGATAGCAACCTCACCTAAAGAATCATCCCTTTCTATTTCTTGCGAGGATATTTCTGTGCACATACAGATTTGATTTTCCAATTTGGGATTATTTTCTTGGTGAGGACATTTGATGGGTTTCTTTATAACCTAAAATAAAATTAGTGTTACAGTGTAAGAAGGAGAATGGAGACATGGTGATTCACCATGGCACGAAGAAGATTGGCTGGGTGGGGGTAGACTTTAAAGAACAAATTGAAAGGGTGGTGTGGGTGGGTAGTTGTTTCTGGGGTTTGGCTAGGTGGGGAACTTGAAGGGTTTGAGTTTTTATTTTTTATTTTTTATTTTAATGTTTAAAATTAGGTAAAAAAATTGAAAATGATATATTTAATTGGCAAGTAACTAAGGTTAGAAGGATGGACACATGGCACCTAATAAGGTGTATGGTGAGCATACCCCAAAGTTAGTGTGAGTGAGCAAAAATGCAACCTCAAATCAATACCAAAATCACAGCTTCAAGATTACATAATCATATAGAATCACAAAATCTCAAAAATGAAATCACATGATCTTCTACACGCATCAAAACCCACTTCAAAATTCCAGCACTCTCAAATCTCCCGAGTTCCAAGCGAAATACTCATTCAGGATCAGAAACAAAACAGCGGAAAACCCTTTTCAGGATCGGAGATGGCGACAAGCCAGCACCAGCGATGATACCATATTAACAGTGGAAGATAAAGCTTGAGAAAGAAGAAGCAAAGGAAGAAAGGAGAAGAATTTTATATCTTTCAATTGAATGTATTACAACCAGATAATTACAATGAGGGCTATCTATTCCCTTATATAGTCACCTATTACAATTCACAATTACTACTGTGCCCTTCTAACAACCATAACTACATTAACAAACTATTATACTAGAATGATGCCAAGTGTGATTACAGTTATATATGTTATTACCGTTCTACAAAATCCCTGCCATAAGGGGGGAAATTTCATTTAATCGAGTTTCAATGCCGTTGTTGTTGCCTGGGTCGACAATCGAATTTCCAAGCACAAGTACTGCTGGAACTGTCCGAT